CACCAGCAACTAATACTTTTCCATTTGTTAATACAGATGCTGTGTGTATATATCGAGCGTAATTCATACTACCAGTGACTGTCCAGACTCCTGTTGGTGGATCATATAATTCAGTATTATTTAAATAAACGCTACCATTGAACCCACCAGTGACTAATACTTTTCCATTCGTTAATACAGATGCTGTGTGCAAATATCGAGCATAATTTGTTGCACCAGTAATCGACCATCCTAGCAACAAATATTTTTCACATTCAGTTTTAGATAAGAAATATGTGTCATCAAATTCTGAAAGGCTCACACACATTGATGGCACTGATTATAGGCTACTATATAAAAATGATGTCTTATAATTATTACGACCATTTCTACATTTGATATAAGTCGAGGACTTTTATATTTGGTCGTGGGTGTAGATGTGAACACACCCACCCACCCGTTTTTGTCTTTATTCAACATCAAATGCACTAAAGATAACTAAACTTCATAGAGCAATACGCTTTTCTATGTAAGGATATCATTTCGAAAACCATTGGCTAATGAAACTTTGATGGGAATTTTAGAGAAGAGCTTGTATATTTACCTTCTGTTGTTGATGCGTTCTCATTAGATGATGTTAACCAAAATGTAGTTACAACAGCCAATATCAAACCAGCAATAAGTGCACCTAATAATAGACCATAAAACAATGGTGATAATGATGAACAATATTCTGATAGTGTCCATCTAAAAGCAATATAGTTATGCGATGTATATTAAAACTCAATCGATTGTTAGTTTTGCTTACCGTTTGTTGTTCTGATCATTTGAATGATGTTGATTATCATCGACTTTGCAAGTACCATTCGAAACGGTTTTGTTTCCATTTTTGCTTTTCGACAAATCATGATGATTAGAAAGATCAATGTTCGTTGTTGCCCATGCATTCATTTGTATATGTTGAGAGGACATTCTTATCGTAGTGATTTTTCTTATATGTGTGATAAATATGTTGTTCAATAAAAAAAAGTAAAATTCTGCGACTGTTTTACTGTTATAACATACATTCTTTATATTAGATTATGAAGCATTCATAATGCATCATGCTATTTCAGAGCTTGTTTCGTAACAAAGAAAACTTAATAAATAATAATTTGCATTTCATAATAAAAAAAATCGAGACAATGGCAAAGTTTCATTTTCAATTTATTTCTTAGGAAACTTGTATAGTTTCTTCTAATTCAAAATAAAAATATACGAAATTCAAGATATTTGCCGTATATCATATTTAGTCGAGTGTGGATGTAGATATCTCTTCTCTTCGCTCACGTCCACACCTACACTCTCCAGGTATATAAATATCCACTATTGAATTATACAGTAGTTAATTTCATTATCATACTTTACACTCTCGTTTTTTTATAATTCTTTATTTTTTTGTACATGATAAAAAACACAACATGTAATAACATATAAATTTCAATCATCATCATCAATTTTTTGAAGAGTATCTGTTTCATTTAATGCCATTAAATCCGTATCTCCGAATACAGAATGATAAGATTTCGACTGTTGTTTTCGTCTTATATAATAAATAATAACTGTTGTTACCATCAAAGTAATAATAAGAAGAACAATTCCTATAATACCAATTCCTATAAATAATTTTGTTGATTTGCTTTGATTATCTTTACATTGAAGACTAAAAAATGAAACGAGACAATCTAATTTTAATCCTTTGTTTCTTGGTTCATTAAAAACAGCTAGAGTTGATGGTGGAATTTTTAACCAATCTATAAAATGATGTAATTCACAATTACATTTAAGATCATTATTACTAGAAAGATCGACTGTTAATAAATGATAATAATCATTTAAATGATTAGTAGAATCAAGTTTTTCTATCGACATATTTTGAAGAGAAACATGAGTTAAATATTTACGCCAAGGATAAAAAATATTCCAATTCAATGTTCGATGTTGTTTATTAAGTTGATTATTATTCAAAATTAACGTATGAATATTTGATAAATTATGTAAATAGATAAGATGTTCAAATGAATTGAGTTGAATAGAATCTAAATCAAGATATTTTAATGAAGGTAATTCGATAGAAAATGTGGTTGGTATAAGAGATAATTTCGTATTATTAAATAATAAAAGTTTATAAGTTGATTGTCCGTGTAATTTTATTGATTGAAGATTATTTTGTGATAAATCAATAATATGTGGAGATTCATTATTCCAATTTATTTTAATAGATTCCATTTGATTATATGAGAGATTCAATAAATTCATTGAAGATAATTCATACATACCATGTTGAAACTGAATTTGATTAATATCAATAATTTTTAAACGATTAAAACTAACATCCAAGGTAAAAAATGTAAGATAATGAAGAAAATCAAGAGTTTCTAAATAGTTATAACTCAAATCAATTACATCAACATGTAAAAATTTCTGTATTGTATCATTAAAATCAATAGAAAAATCATTAACTGCTGTATTTGATATTATTATTTGTTTTAAATAAGTATAATCCGACATAAGACGTAAACGAACTTGTTTTAAATTCTTGTTATCACTAAAATCAATTCTTTTTAAACGATCATAAATATTGAAATGTATATAGTTAATCGTATTAATATTTTGTATTTGAATATTTTCAAGATTTGTCGTTGATAGAAAATCATCTGTTGATATTGAATTAGTTAATGATTGATTTTTTAATGTTAAATCTTTTATACATGAATTAAAAAATTGAACCGAAGTAATATTTGTTTCAGTAAAATCAAGTATTAAACGATTATTAATTTCTGAACAATTATTAAGAAATTTTTCATATTCATTCATCGAAATTTGTTGACAATGACGGCATCGAAATGTTTCTAATCGTGGTAGAAGTTCTAAATGAAATAATTGTTTAATTAAAGTTGATGAAACATCAAGAAAAATTAAAGATTGAAATTCATGAATTTTATTTAATATTGTTTGTAATGGATTAAACGATAAAATTAAATATTCAATTCTATTTAGGATATTTCCATTAAGATTATCAATTGATTCAAGTTGATTATGTGATAAATGAAGAGATTTTAACTGAGGAAAATATTTTTGTTCGAATAGAAATTGTTTTTTATTAGTAAATTGATTATAAGATAAATCAAGTGAAGTTAATTGTGGATAATATGATGTATTTAATTGAAACCATTGTAAACCTTTTTCATCTTGAATTTCAAGTGATTGAAGAAGACGAAAATAAATTTTTTTATTTTCATTAAATAATTTCGATGAAAATGTATTATTAATTAAAATTAAATATTCAATATTCGAAGCAACATTTATAAATAAATCATTTAATGATAATTGAAAATTTGAATCACGAATTTCTACATGAGAATTTTCAAGTGTATATTTTAAATCATTTAATAATGGAATTGATTTAGTAAAGGTTGTATTCCAACAGGATAATAATGTTGTTTTATCATAAGTACAACGTGAAGGTATATCATTCCAAAATGAACATTGACTATTTTGAATGAAGAGTAAGAAGAAGAGATGAATCAGAGATTGATGTTTCATTTTTGCATGAAGATTAAAAACAATAGAAGATAAAAAAAAACGCTACTTAATTTCTATTTTCTCTTCTGTTCTTTTAGTATACTCAAGTTCGGTTTTTTTTTATTAATGAAACAAATTGTAGTAAAAAGAATTTTTCTTTTTTTTTATTATGTAACAAGATAAAGCAAAGCACATCGAGATTATAAAATACAAGTCAACTCAAGGTTTTTTCCTTTCGGTGAAAATAGTTAACAAAATGATGTTATATTATCAAACATTATAAAAATTATGAGATGAGAAGAAGAAAAAAAGGTTGAGGTGAACAAATGTCACCTCAAGAAACAATTTTTTTTCCTTCTAAGAATTACGTCATACGTACTTTTACATTATTAAGGAAATTTCTCTTTCTTTTTTTTATATATAGGCTAAGAAAAAAAACCGAGCATTTTTTTTTATTCAATTTGAAGTATAAAAAAAGAGTTGCCGGTCAAGATATAATTAAACAAGCATGATTAGCTATATTATTATGAATATATTTTGATCGAAATATTTTATTTCAGCTGCATACGAAACCTAGAATAGATAAAGTACTATTCGAGGGCAGAGAGCAGCTCGAATCTGTCACTTAGGTTCGAACACATTAGTAATAAACAATATTACCATTCAACTATATCGAATATTTATTATATGAAGAATAGGAAGAATACATTTCATTTTTTTTGTCAAAAGTGATTGTATTATGTAATAAAAAAAATTTAACTAAAAGGAAATCAAATGATTACTTTTGATAATCATAAAAATTTACTATTTATTGAGTCAAACATGTATAATCTTTCTATATTAGCTAATTATAATTCACTCAAGTACAATCCTCAAGAAAATGAAGAAGTCATTTTATTTTTGGCGTCTAGATTTTATTATTTCAAGTGAGATATTGATTAAAATAGATTAGACAATATAAAACAAAAACAGCAAGTGTATGAGAAGAATGTCGGCATAGATCTATATTGTACAATGTATAAGACAATTTCGATAGCGTCATTTGTATTGCTTTTAACTTGATTAACTAAAGAAACATATTCACACAATTGATTTTTTGTTTGTTTGTCTTAGAGAAGCAATTTATAGTTCGATTCAAATTTCAGTCTACCTGTCAACTTAAGTTATTCTTGATCTCTTAACTATCGATTTCAAAATGAATTGTTAATGTGTCTTGTCTATTTAAATAAAAAATGTAAACGTATGGATTAATATTAACAGAAAAAAAAAATTTTCGTTTCTCACGGTACAATTACATAATTTATCTTAGAAAGAATTAGCTGCTTTCAAGCAATAAGAAAAACATCTATACATATCTTTTTATTTGATTGCTTACGGGCACTTGAACAATTAGGCTCATGATTAAAAAGAATGTTAGTATCTTTTCTTTTCTTCTCGTCATCCTATTCGTTTAACGATGCAATAATATATCCGATTGGATATTGACGAAAAAAAAAAAAACGAAGACGAAAATAATTCAAAAGAGAAAGATGACAGTTATGAATTCATCTTTATTTATTCATATATCATGGAACAAACAACAACAACAGTATCATCGTTAAAATCAAAACTTTTTCTTATACTAACATTATGTACAGTTATTAGTTTGATTATTATTATTGCGATATTAATTTTCACAATTATTAAAGACCGACAAACATCAACACAAATTCCCATTGCACAATCTCTTAAATCAGTTTCGAAGCAATCAACATTCACAACTACTGGTATGTAATATATTCTGTTAACATCCATAGAATTTTTTTTGTTCTTTTAAGTTTCTACCACAACAACGACTTTATCTCCTGAAGAAATTCATCGATTATCTTCATTTAAAGAATTTCTTAATTTACCATCAAATCATCCGAATCCAAATCCATCTCATTCGCCTAAAACAATGAATACATTTATGCGTTCAATCTACCGACAAATGTATGATGAACGAGGATCTCAAAGGCGAAAACGTCGTGATAATGAATATTTAAATTATTATTTATCCGATGAATTTGATTCAATTATCAGTTTACCAAATCAATATTCTTATTTATCTACAAATATGACTTATCATTTTGAATATAATGGATCAATTGAATATCTTAAATATGCTGAATTTATTTTACCTATTCGACAATTTTCAATTATTCAACTATCTTCTTCAACTTTTAATATTACAATCAAACAATCTGATAGAAATAATAATAATAATTTCATAAAAATCAATTTAACACAATACATTACATCATTTCCATTCACATTTCATCTTACATTTATTCAAACAAAACAAAAACTTTCATCGGGATTTTTAACTTTATATTTTCAAAAATCATCTCATTCAATTGTCCGTCGTGATTTATCAACATTCTATAATAATCAATTAATAACATATCCTGATGATCCATCATATTGTCAAGTTCGTCCATTACGTACATCATTTTCCGAATTAAATTGGTCATCTTGGATTATTGAACCAAGTTCATATGAAATGAATATATGTTCAGGTACATGTCATACACAATCAAATATGGGTACATATTTTATAATTCAAAATTTATTGAATCAAAAATATCCAAAGAAAATTCCAGCACCATGTTGTAAACCAAAACGTTTTTCATCAACAATACTTTTATATTACGATGGACCAAATTTAATTTTAAAAAGACATGAAAATATGCGTGTTGTTGAATGTGGTTGTTCGTTATAGATATAAATATATATATTTTTTTTAAATTGAGATTTATTGTCGTCTTGCTTCTCTAGTACTTGGACCAATGGGTCGATTATCTATACCGATTTGTCTTCGATTTAATATTCGTCTATGACATAGAAACATTGAAAACTGATTAATAATTTGTCGACTTTCAAGACGAAATTGAGATCCAGTTAATGTATATAAATAAAATGATATTGAACAATTTAAATATGCTAAATGACGTGCAATTTGTGATAAAAAATTTTCTATTACTAAACGTACAGGACTTTTCATTATTGTTAATGTTGTTGTTACTTCTAAATTTGAAATAATTAATGGTAATGAACATATAACAGTTATAATCACTTGTAATAATAACATTTTACTTAGTTGTATGTCACGTTGTCTTACACGGATATTTCCTTGATTATTACTATGTCTACGTGTTAAATGTATATTACGTATAGTTAATAATCCAAATAAAGTCATAAGAATAGGTGGTAAAAGACTATATTGAATAAATATTTGTATATCATTAAATAATCGATATGGTCCATATCGTGGATAACAGAATGATGATTGAATATTATATAAAATAAGTATATGACAATATAATAAAATAAAAAGAATTGTAAGAAATCCAATAGAATACCATGCTCTTTTTAAATTACTTAATCGTCTACGAGTATGATCATTTGAACTAATTATATAACGATCAATAGTTGCAAGAAGAAGAAACCAATTCGAAAGACTTAATGATAAATATTGAAAAAATGAACGTAATTTACATACAGTAAGATTTGTATTGATAAGATCAATATTAGCTATATCTGTTAAATAACGTGGCAACATACCAAAATAAAGTGATATTAAATTAACTATTGTATTTGCAAGAAAACAAACTGATGTTGGATTTGTTCGTTGAGTTCTTTTAGAAAATATTAATAGATTACATAAATGACCAAATGTACCAATTATTAAAAGAATCATTGGAAAGATTTTATTCACAATTGATATACTACCATTTAAAATATTGATTATATCAATATCTTGCATATTGCTTGAAAAATATGTATGTCAAATAGATAGTTGTAAAATTGAAAGAATGAATCTATAGGAAAAAGTTATAATATGAACGCAATTATTATAAGAAGAAAGGATAATCAACTGAAGATAAATTCAAAGAGTTGAATAAGAATATAATCAAGTCTTTCATACTCATTCAACTATAAATTTTACATACTGACATATTTTTAATATATATCCTGTGTTTGACATCCAAGGTATAAACTGTAAGAGATAATCTTTGATGATATTTTCTCTCGAGACTAAATATGAACTCTCAGTACTTTTTGTTTAAATAGGGTGGGTGTGAATATTTTATTACGAACTTTTTCTTTGAAATCATGAAAATAAAATATTAATGAGTTTATTTTTAAAAAGATGGCTCATTCCGAATTGTGGTTACACTTTCCATCCTCACCCACACTGTCGGTTTGCTAATTGGTTTGATCTACGACCGCAATTAGGAAGCACGAAAAAAGGTTTCCAATAATGAAGATACTACAGAAAAAATTCTACATTTATAATATTCGTTATATATATATGCTAACATGTTGTATTAAGTCAAGTTAACTTTCATCAAACGAATACAAGCATCTACTTATCTGTATAGTCTGAATTAAGTTAATTTTGAATGCATATAATTTTAATGATGATTATTCAAATCCTCATATAGACATATAAAAATAAGTTTCAGAATGTTCTTCAAAAGAACATTTTTATGGAGTATGTCACTAATCATGTCTGCTTTGTAACACAAATATCTAATTGGTATAATTGTTAACTGTTATTCATCATAAGTCAAAACTGTAGAGTTACACCTTGATATATCATTTTTAAGATAACTTCTAGTTTTTAATTAGATAGTATGAGAATAATGATAGATATAATCATGAATTCTATCAAGTTGCTTGAAAATCAAGGTAACAATAATATATTTACTGAACTATAATTTAAATAAAAACGTATGAAAAGATATGCAATGAATATTCATTTATTTATATTTTTAAAATTTTCTTCAATATCTTCTTTTATCATATTAAGAAATTTTGCTTTCAAATCTTTCTCTAGTCGAAATATCACTTCAGCAGCATTTCGATCTCTTGATAAATATGTCTTTTCTTTGCATATTGGATTAAGACGAAATACTCGGAGATAAAATGCACCTGACCATCCTGTGTAAAATCGACATTTGTCTTTATAACCAAAATCAACTAAATCTGCCCAATCATATCTTAAATTTGAATTGACTATAATTTCATTTGGTACAAATCCTAAATCAGCAAGTCGATTATTATGAATCATTTTTCTCATTGCATCATCAGCAGTAGCTAACCAACGTTTAAGAAATTTCGGATCACGTGATTTTATTATTGATTGACGTATTGTTTTTGCAATAGATGATAGTGAATATGGATCTTGAAAATCATCTGATAACATCATAAATACTGCATTACCAATCTGACCAGTAGAAGCAATCGAATCAGATACTCCACGAAAATTTACGGATGTATTCGTACGTAAAATACGACGTTTATCATCGTTATAATAACAATATTTGTTTAATGTTAGAATAATATAAGCTGTAAGTGCATCTTGGATTGTTATATTATCGTCATCAGCTAAAGTTCTTAATTTTACAAGTTGTTCACCGGAAAAACTTAGATTAACTTGATCATATGCTTCTTGATCGATCATAAATTTTTTCCACATTTCTTCTAATGGTTTTGCATCACGGAAATGTTTCATAGTGAATAAAAGCGACGAATCAATTTCATCATGTTTCCATAAACGTCGTTCAAATATTGGTAATGGTTCAAGAGGTTCCATATGCTGATATAAACGTGAGAGAGTATTTGAAAAATTTAAACAAGATGCAGCATCACCTAATTCATGTGCCCAACTTATACCCATTATCCATTCATTACTTTGTATAATATGAGTTAATTTAAGTCGTACAAGTGGTTCATCATTTGTATTATCAAACAAATTTGCTACTCGAACCTCATCAAGATATGTTGAAAGAGAATTTGTATAAAAATCTCGAATTACATTTGAGTCAAAAGGCCATTTAACGGAATCGTAATCATTGAATAATACTACTGGAATAGGATTATCAGACATTTCTATAAAATAATGTTCGTCGGTATCTAAACGAGAACGACCAACAATAAAAGGCCATAAAGAAAGAGTACGACTGAGTGCTTCTTTGAAACGATCGATATTTATTCTAGATGGATATACAAATACATTATCAATCCGTGCCATTCTCCATAGGTCAAGACCAGCTAGTTCAAGACGACGATTGTTACCTGTTGGTGATGAAGGATAAACAAGAAAAGTTGATGTCATATTTATATAAATAGTAAAACTATAAAATGATATATTGTATTTACATTATGTTATATAGGTTTCTTGTGTAATTTCATAAGAATTCCGTATATTTTATGACATACATCTTTTTATCATCTTTAATGATAAATATTTGTCACAATCGTGGTACTCAAAAGAATCAAATAGAAGACATATATTGTAGAGGTCGTTTACCATGATGTAGTTTTGAATATGATTAAAGAAGTCTTTCGAAGAGACAAGGATTAAACAGAGTATAGATATAGACTACTGTTTATCTAACATATTATTGTTTTTCTGTTCGGTCGCATTATTCCCATAAAATTAAAATTTTAACCGCACTAGCAGTTCCATTCCATTAGTTTTCTTTCAAAATATGTATTTGTTATTGAAACTTTTTTTTTGTAAATAAAATTCTTTCTTAACTCTATAATTAACATTTTGAGATAGAAGAAAAAATATTTTTCTTTTTTTTATTTAAAATTCCGTATCAACAAGATAAAACTTACAAAAAAAACTGTTAAAAAAGTTGATGATGAATGAACTATATTCCCTGAAAAGAGAGACTGTCCTTGGGTGGATACATTCTTATAAGGCAAATAAATTGAAGAAGGAATAATAATTGTTAAATTCAATGGTGAAGATGAATATTGAATTATTACTGTTCGATTATAAATTTCATTACTTCGATACAGTACCTAAAAGAAATAAGTTTATTATACGTGTTCATAATAATTCTATTCTATGTTACCTTTAGAGTATATTTTCCAGGTAATAAGATTCTCCAAAATTCTCCTAATGATGTAACTTTAACAGTAGGCCATCGATTATCAATCATAACTTCTGTCGATGGTATCGATTGATTATATTCATTAAGTATTAAACCTTTGACACCTAAAATAAAAATTTTCCATATTAAAATATTTTTTATGAAAAAGAAAAATTAAACCTCTTTGTGCTTGTAATAAATATTGAATCATTGCATCACGATTATAATTCCAATAAGCAGGAAGAGTATTATTTACAGGATATTTACAACATGATATTTCCATTGTTAATTCAATAATACCATAATTCAAATAACCATAATCTTGCATACCACCGGTTATTTCATACCAATCAGCACCACGTGTAACGAAACCATCATTTTGATAATCAGATAAACAATTTTCATTTGTTTGTACTGTTCGATTCACATAAGCATGTGCTAGCGTTTGAAATATATCATCATCATCACTTATTGAAACACCTTGAACATCTTGAGGAAGAGGAGAAGAAAAAAAACAATATAATTATTATAGATATTAATTAGAAAAATACATTTTACAATAGCGATCAAATGGTGTATTCATAGTAAAGGATCCTCCATGAAAATTAGCCGATAGAACGAATGAGATATTTGCTAACCAAGCTATAACTGCACTTGTTTCTTGTGCTTGAATTGATGAATCAAGTGTAGCACCATAATAATCTGGAAAATTTCGATTCAGATCAATATTATTCACAGTATATCTAAAATTATGTTAAAGGCTAAATAAATTTTTCTCTATTGATAATTACCTTCCATTCGTACTTGTACAATCACCATATTGAGATATTTCTAAACCATCTGGATTCATACATGGCATTATCCATATTCGAGATTGATTCATCAATTGATTAACTAATGTATCATTTGATGTCAAGAGATATTCAATTAGATACAGTAACATTTCTTTTCCTACAACTTCATTTCCATGCATATTTGCTATATATTTTACCTCCGGTCGAAGTAAAACATGTGCATTTGGTGACGATGCACTCAATGCCATAACCCATAGTGATCTTCCTATAGAAAATCATTCGTATGAAATTTATATTATCAAATATGATCTTAATCAGTTATACCTCCTTGTGATTTTCCTATTTCATATAATGCTGTTTTTGTTGGATATTGAGAAGCGAAATTTTTAAGAACAGTTGTCAAATCAGAATAATTATGATAGCGAAAATCAATTGCTTCATTTTTATTATACAATGCCGTTAATACAAAAAGAATCAATTGAATTTTAAACTAAAGTAAAAAAATATAA